TGCTATTCTTGTAGATGACCAGGATTCAGTTCCCAGAACCTTCACGGCAGCTCACAAACCTCTGTAACTCCAGTTTCAGGGAATCTGATGCCTGGACTCTGTGGAGCACAAACATACAATACAAGCCAAGAGACACATAAAATAAAAATAAATAAATTTTACAAATAAATATTAATGATTAATCATACATCCATGAAAGCATTGTCAGTTATTCAAAGAAGCTTAGGTTTCTGAACTCTTTTCCAAGGGTCAAAGAAAGGTCAAATCTAAGATTAAAACCTAGCAGTGGAGAAGTGGTGTGCTTCTCTTTTATACTGCTACATTTTAATTTTTTTGTATTTTAATTTTTATATGAATAATTATGCATTTGTTGTAATTTCAAAGCAATTGAAATCTATTAGAATTATATTTGACAAAGCACTCAATTTATGATTTTCTAACTTGGTGAAAAGCACTGTTAATATTTTTTACACATCTATGAAATCTAAATTACACATTTAAATTAATATTTGAGTTTTGAGACTGCTTTTGGATTTTTATCTTAGTTCTAAGAATTGCCCTTTTCAGGCTCAAAATGTTGTGCCCGATTCGTGAGACCCCAAAAGACCACCACCAGAAATCGAGTCCATTGCAAAACACATGAGGATCTTTTTATTACAAGCTACAGCTTGGGCTTACACACCCTCACTGCTGAAGTGGTGAGAGCTGAGAGCCTCGTGCTCAGGTTAGTTGGGTTTAAAGGGTTTACAGTTCCTCCCAGTATGCCCAAAGCAGGGGGATTCCTGCCTGGCAAGCATCTATTGGCCGAAACACAAAAGGGATGTTGCATTTTGAATTGATTGGCTATAGGAAAACCTCCAAACCATTAATTGTCCAGCTTCCCTTGTTTTGGCTGCGCTAGGGGAGAGAGACCGGTTTCCTAGCAACTGTATTTCTAGTGGGCAGGAAAGAGTTCAGTAAGACTAGTTCTTCCCCTCAGGGCTAGTTCTTCCCTGAAGGAGGCTAGACATATTTCCACTTGGCTGGACTTAGTTCAGGCTTGTGCTTTAAACTTTAAAATAATAGCCACTGATTTTTAATCTTTTGATCTCTCAATAACTGACTTAATATTTGTAAGCAGTGACCCAATAGGATAAATATTTGCTGTTTGTGAATGTGCACATGCATGAGAGAGAGAGAGAGAGAGAGAGAAAGGGACAGAGGGAGAGGGAGGGAGGGAGAGAAATGTATGTGTGGAGATTAGAGAACAGCTTATAGGTCCTGGGACTCAAACTCAGGTTGTTAGACTTGGTGGTAAGTGCCTTTATCCACTACTGGCACAGTTTTTTTCTTCATTAATTAATTCATTTGTTTATTTTTACATCCCAATCACAAACCCACTCCCTCCTCTCTTCCCAGTCCCACCATCCCCTACCCACTTCCCCTATACCCCCTTTCCCTTCCCACCACCCTGGTACCAATCCACCCTGGCACATCAAGTTGCATCAGGACTAAGGCTGGCACAGTTTTAAACTTTTACAGAACAGTAGAGCTCAAAAGGAATACTTTGTCTTGTCTTCTCAGGAAACTGAGGAGATGGGATGATTTTTCCAAGATTTTCACTTTTTATATTGTTGGAGAATAGAAGATAGACTATATATTTCTGTAGTTTACATAGAAAAGGTGTACTACATTTGGGTTTCTTTCCCCTCCCTTTCTTTCTTCCTTTCTTCCTTCCTTCCTTCCTTCCTTCCTTCCTTCCTTCCTTCCTTCCTT